ATATTTTGCAAGTGCCAAGATCTAATCTTGGATATGTGGTCCGAGTTGCTCAGATCTATTTGATGTCAAATATAGGAAGCCCTGGACAGAGAATATTCCTAGCTAACTGCTTTGACCTTTCTTAATCAAGACGGCAAAGGGTTTTATTTATGGGTGCATGAGGATTTATAATTTCTTTTTTATTTATTAAATAATTTTCACACAGATTTTTGGTCTCTCGCGCCATTAATTAGAGAAGTCAAGTATCATTTTGTTCATAATCATCATTAGAAGCATCTTCGAAGATTTTCATTATTATTTCTGAATTGTAATTAGAACGTGTTCATTAGTCAGCTTTGTTATTTCTAATATTATCTTGTTCGACTGCACAAACTATAATGGAAAGGGAGGCCACCAAAGAGGTAAAATAATTTGGCAATTAAAAATTTAAGTACTTATCCGTGTTAACAATGGATTAAGATGTCATTATAATTTGGTTTGAGCTAATCACAGTACCAAACGTAATTTATTCATAATTAGGAAAATGTGGTGATCAAACGCATGCATGTTAACAGATTGAGAGAGAGAGAGAGAGAGAGAGAGAGAGAGAGAGAGAGAGAGAGAGAACTTTAGATCTATCACTCATATGAATGTACAATACAAGATTAATGTGCAAGCTGGAGATAATGGAGGTTGTTAAGTAGTCTCATCCAACTCAAAACAAATTAGCGAGGGAGAGGTCCTAGATCTTTTAAAACTATAAGGCAAGGCTTCAATTTTCCGATGTGAGATTCGCAGTCTCACCTCTAAAAACATAATTATTTTATGTTGTCGCATTGTGAATTTGGACCACACATTCATATAAAAAATCTAGCAAAAATTATAGATTCACAACCTATGTGGAAAGATGTATATAACATTTTTCATATAATTAGGAGCCTAAGAGCATTCACAATGGGCTCCCTAAACTATCTCCTTAGACAAATTTTTGGGAGGAATTAGAAAAATACAACTCCAACCATACTCCCTCTATTCACCTCCTAAAATAAGGAGACCTCCTAAATCTGAGGAGATAGAATTGACTCCTAGTGGCTCTCTATAATTTAATGTTGCTTTATTTAATGAGTATTTCAAACCTTTTATTAACACTAACTATTTTTTATATTATTTTTAAATAGAGATTGACCAATTAAAAAAGAATTATAGCATTTATGACTCCCTAAACTAGAGAGTATGATTGGAGTTTAAATTTTATAGAGAGCTCCTAAAATAACTTTTATATGTTTTTAGTTAAAATTTAATGCTCTCTAATTATATGAAAATGTTATATATATATATATATATATATCTTTCCATATATAGGTTGTGAATCTATAGTTTTTGCTAATTTTTTATATGAATGTGTGGTCCAAATTCATAATGCAGTAACATAAAATAATTATGTTTTTAGAGTGTGAATTTTTCATAATGCAGTAACATAAAATAATTATGTTTTTAGATTGTGAATTTCACATCGGAAAATTGAAGCCTTGCCTTATAGTTTTAAAAGATCTAGGAAGTGTTGCCATTATGTCTTTACTTCAACAAAACATGTTTCATTTATAAAAACCCCCCAAAAAATTAAAATATATATGTTCCCTTTTTTCTTATTATGCGTGTAAAATAATACAGTTAGTAGTATTACATATTTTCTCATGACAGTTTGGCAATCTCTACTAATGTATATAAAACTCGATTTTAGTAAAATTCAAAGATGTCGTCATAGGAACAAATGAATTAACAAAAGTATAGTGATTCTCACACGGTTTGCTACATTAAATTAAGTATAACATTTGTCATGAAGAACCCAACCATGATATATAAACTCTTATCATTGGAGATGACAGAGTGGGCAGGAAATTAATCAATATATAATGCTTAATTTTTAATTTTTATAAAGAAAAGTTTAGGGATAGGGGAGGCTACCCCATCCCAGGGTCAGAACATACCAAAGCCTCTTAAGAACTTACAAAGGGAGTCTTAGCATCTTTTTTAGTTTTTACAGATTATCCACGAAGAGGGTTTTTCAATTGTCTTCTTTAATTAGTTTTTCTTACATTTATTTTGCCAAGACATTTTAGGACCACTGAAATAGTTGAGGGATTCCTCAAATATGTTTATTTGAGGGACACTCTTGTAGGGCCCACTCTGTATTGTATTTCACTAATCCAAATCGTGTATTTTGTAGATACATCATCTCTACAAAAAAATTACTTGAATCCGATCATTTGACCACTCAATTGAATTATTGAAATTTAAGTACTTTCTTGAAGCACTGTGTTCATTGATTTTGCAGGATACAATTGGATATCAAAACGGTTTCCGATTTATTTAATTTTTTACAAAGATGATCTATGAATGTAGACTTAAAAAATAGATAGTTTGGATCGTTAACATTTTTTTTGTGGAGGACCCTAAGGGGTATCCCTCAAATCCCTCAATAGAAGGGGTATATTTATACACACAATTATTCTCTTATCCGGATGTGAATAGCGTGAGGATACTATTATAGACAAGCAAAAAACCAAAAGGGAGGTAGTACAAAATACATAGCGTTGGAATGATAATGTCCGCATAAGAGAATATATATATATTTAATCAGTGACTTCAGTGCTGATGTATTTTAGGCAATTATCCAAACCAATAATCATTTGGCCCTTAAATAATAAGTACTAGCATCTGCTTCGTGCATGAGCTTTTTCCTTTTAATATATATTTTTTTTATTATATCCTTATTTATAGAGAATTTATTCTATATATAGAGAGCAAAGTAGAAAATGATACAAATTCAAAATACTAGAAAATGTCCCTTATAGTTAATGGAAAAATTAAAAATTGAAATTATTAATTAAATAAGGATAATATGTCCTATTTTTATGGAACACAACTACCCATTATCTTTTTTAATTCTAAAATAAAAATCAATTGACACAGGCATGAGTGTGTGCCAATAGGCTAGTCTTTATTAAACATACTCTTGTTTCTTTAAAAAAAATTTATTTGCATTTTAATATAGACTGTTAATGTTATGCGTATTTGCTTCTTTAAAATAAAATAGTTGTGTTTTACATATTTGTTTTTTTAAAATAAAATAGTTGTGTTTTGAAATTGTTTTTTTTTAGGGAGTTTCACTAAAACACCCAAAATGGGGGCTGAAATTATAAAAAAAACCCAACACCCAAAACACTTTATAAACACACCCAAAACTCATCATTACACACACTCAAAACTCATTTATAAACACACCCAAAAAATATACAATTGTTGATTTTGGGTGTGTTTCTATGTTTAAATAGTGTTTGAGTTTTTTTATAAATACATGTCTAGGATTGGGTTTATTTATAAATTTGTATTTTTTTTTAATGACAATTTTGGGTTATTTAATATTAGCCCCTTGGCACACGCTCACTCGTGTGTCATTCGGTTTCTTTTTCCTTTTCTTTTTTTTCTTTTAGAATTAAAAAATATAATGGGTAGTTGTGTTTCATAAAAATATGACCCATTATCTTTTTTATTTTTAACATTTGTAATAGGAAAAAGTGTGAATTTACCATATTATCCTTATTTAATTAATAATTTCAATTTTGAATGTTTGCATTAACCAAGGGTATTTCTGGTATATATACCATTTTATTTAGGGATCCCTCAAATATTAAGGTCTCTTACGAAATTTTGTTCAACGATCCAAACTATCTATTTTTCACATCTTCATTCAGAGATCATTTTTACAAAAAAAACCATACAAATTGAAAATCATTAAGGCATCTAATTAGGACCAACAAAATTAATTAATGTATACGGTGCTTTAAGAAAGTACTTGAATTTCAATAATTTAATTAAGTAGTCAATAATATCGGATTCAAGTGATTTTTTGTAGAGATGATTTTTTAATGAATATCTACAAAGTAGATGGTTTGGATTAGTGAAATAGAATGCTGAGTAGAGTTCACAAGGGTGTCCCTCAAATACTTGGATCCCTCAATAGAAGCTCCATATATATATATAGACTCTACTAATAATAAGTTTAATTAATTACCTCATTAAGTATAATTATATTTAACAAAGGAACATGCCTTAATGAAGACTCGATTCACTTCCAAACCCCCAAAAAAATATGATTAATGAAGCTATTTCCCTCGTCCATAAAAAATTAATAAATAAATTCTAAGGTATTATAATAATAAAAAATGTCAAATTAAAATGCAACGCTATAACATCGTGACGAGCTCTATGCATTATGCAAACAAAGGAAAATTCTATCTTATTAGACTAAAAACTTAAAAATAATGAACAATAATGATAATAAATATTGATTGTACTTGTACTTTCTCGGTTGTGTAATGCAAGTACGTCAACTGAAGAACCAGTTTGCAAGTACAGTGGCTTTCTGTTTTTCTATTTATTTTTTTTAATTACAAAATTTCGCCCTACACTCGCGCCTTGTAGTTCTTCAGGCGTCTGTCCCCAAGATATAACTATCAATAATTCAAAATTCGGGCACTTGGATTTTGAACTTTGATAAACTGTATTTGTTCTCTCTCTCTCAAATAGTGAGTGACTTTGTGAGTGATGATTCAGTTCTTACTTTTGTAATAGGGTTGGCTATTTAAAGACATCTAGATAACCTTTCATGAGCAGTTGCAACTGCTGTAAAAAGATAGGTTCAATTTGATTTTCGAATTTCACAAAAGGAAATCCCAATTTAAACATCAGAGCCCAAGAGCCACGCTAATTCAAATTTATGCAGTTTTGTCTTGAGACCAAATCTGCAGAAATGTGAGGGCTCGAGTTTTTGCCCATTTTGTCATGAGACCAAAACTACAGAAAAATTGATCTTATTCAATTTTAGCCTAATCGCAACCAACCCAAGTCCAATCCATTTTAAAATAGAGAGGAACTAAATCTTATGAAGTGTATCAATTTCTTGTGTTCAACCAAAGTGAGACTAAGGAAAACCTTAGTTTTCTGTTCAAACTTCCAAGAGTTTTGACGCAATGTATCACATGATCTGAAATGTTCATTTTTTAGGTCCTCATTGAAAGATATTTCCTACAAAAATTCACTCTAAAAAATGAATGGTTCGGATTATGAAATTATAACGCGGAGTATGCCCAAATGATTGGTTAGTATAATAACTTACTAATCGGTTAGAACTTGAGCACTGTTATATATAAATGTATAACAATTGATGTGGAGTTAGACTTAAATTCAACCAACTAGCATTTAGTTTAGTGGTGACGTAACTTTGTTGTCGTGAATTATCTCATTCTAAAAATAGTTTTGCAAATATGCTATTGTTTGTCAATTTATAAAATAAAAAATGGATCAATTTTATATGGAACATGCTTGGCTTAGTATTTGGGTTGTCTTGTCCATCGCATTGCTGCTCGAGGTTTTTATGGGTCAATATTGGAAATAAATTTGAAATTTTATAGGTGAGAACGACGGGAGAGAAATTAGTTTGAGAATCGAAGCCAATTGATCTCCTCTTTTATGAATTTGCTTTCTAAAATGTATTATCAAACCTCATAAGTTTACGGTTGCTTTTTATTTTGACACATCGTTCCGTTATCATAGTCTAGATTTGGCTTTCCTGTACTGGATGCTCTTCATTTCTAAACCCCCACAAGAGGAGCCAGCCCCGTTGAGGGAAGAAGCAAAACACAAATTGCAAAATCAACCCCTCTAAGAAAGGACTTGAAACGATTGAACCAAAAAAATTTACAGAGTATGTGATGTAAGAATCTAAAGAACAAAATGTTTGTGCATGTTAGAGTTTGTAAGAATTCGTTTTGCAATTCTATCAAATCCCCTCAATCCCACAAAATATAGAAATTAGAACAAGAAATAGCTATTTGACAAAAATAAAAGAACAAGAAATAGCTACAATCTGGGCAGCTCTCCTTCTTGCAGGTGTATTGATCAAATAGAATCAACAGATGATTACAAAATACACAGTTCAAACAAAACCTCTTTGCATTTAAACCTGCTTCTCCAATTCAACTTCATATAGATGCAGAAAACCAACGGTGAAGGAGAGATAATGAACAAAAGAATCCATTTATAACATTTCACTGTGATCAACGCTGAAATGTAAATTTCCGCTATCCGTTTGTATGGTTCACTAAGAACATGAAGCAGGTCCAGACAAGCGAAAAAAAAACAACATTGAGCAGCAGGATCAGAGAGACGTGTACACCATCGCCTGATTTCCACCACACACCATATATGATAGTAATTACTCCTGCTCGTTTTCAGGTATCTCGTCACCAAAACCCCGTTGCACTAATCTGTAATACAAAATACCCATAGTCGCCATGCATGCCCTGCACAAGATTGTGAAACAAATGCATTAGTAGAGTGCAGCTTGTTTTATATTCCGTATTGCAAACATTGCCTTCTCCTTGCGTTAAGAATTGAGTAAGCATGATGAAGACAAGGATTGTGCTTTGGTTCAGTCTCTAAATAGGGATTAGATAGCCAACATACTCTCATCTAATCTGTTTATTATATCAGCAGGTGCAAGAAAGGAAGATCCAGAAAAGCAGGGGTCTCAATTGTCCAAGAGCAACTTAAACCCCAAAATCATGGGCAAGCATGGCACTTTAAACAAATGGCCCGCCTTCCTTACCCACCCTAAAGCAGATCTCAGAATCCCACAAGTTAAGCTAGGTGCAAAACATTAATCAGGTCTCCCGACCTTCCTTGCCTAGGGAGAATTAAAAGTAAACTTAATTAAGGAAAAGTGGGATACACAGACATTACATGATTGCTATCACAAGAAGGATTTTTCTTGGATCCATTCTTGATGATCTTTGATGACGGGCGCGACCCTCGGGGACATCATTTGCAATTGATCCATCTTTCCGCTGGGGTGCAGTCACTGGTAGAGTTGGCAATGCAGTTGACCAGAACGGAAGCAATGCTCTTAGAAACTTATGTCGGAATGGACCTACAATTAAAAACCCCAAGAGTTTTATTTTCGAATGAAAGCTTAATAACAGTTACAAGAAATGAAACCAGAGAATGCATTGACTATAACCAGATAAAAGAGCAGTAAAATTGGGTCAAAAGGAAAGCTCTCAATTGTGGCTTCTCTATCTAATTGGAAACAACTCTTTAGCCAAAGAAATAAAAAACGGAAACAACAATTCCCAGTGTCAATTTCACCTAGCAAACACCAAGCGAGAGGAGACTACATAATATTAGCAAATGATAAACTACAATTTTCGCCCCTGAAATTTGACTCAAATTTCAATTTGGTCTTCAGTTTTCAATTGTTGCAATTAAGTCTTTAATTTTTTTCAATTAAAAAAAAAGTGGTTCTTCAATCTGCAACAACTATTATTTAGTTAAAGAATGTATAACCTTGGAATGTAATTTAATTTAGTAAATTACCAGACTAATCCTGCATTCAGTTGAGGTCACAGAAGCATGTTAATACTTGTATTTTACTATACATCTACTAATATGATATAAATTTTACTATACATGTGTATGTGGAAAGAAAATTGCATTGCATATGCTATATGGCTTCCATTTGACATCAAATAAGCAGCTAATGTGCCACATCAGTAAATGTGCCAAGTCAACATATGTAATAATAAAATTCTAACTATGGTTGATAAAAATACCTGATTACCTAATTTTTTTTCAAAGAAAGGATCTAATCAAACATTTGGATCAATTCCAAAGTGTACTTTTGCCTATTATACTTATAACCGAAACAGTTCTGATCAATTCAAACTAGGTATGGCTTTACTCATAACAAAGAAATCATAACTTGAAAGTTCACACACACATGCAGGACTCTCTACTCACCCCTTCGTGAGTACTTTTTGCGATTCCCATCTTCATCATCTGCATAATATGAGATTTCAGAGTTTTGTCGCTCAACTTGGAATGCACCCTTTCGTGTTGTCGCACCAGGCTAGTTTTCATAGCAACAAACAAAATGAAATCATGAGACAATAGAAAAACACCATAAGAAGACTTATCAAGGCACGCACACACGAGCACAAGCCAGGGTAAAATGACACAAGGAAGGTAAGGAATAAGTTCACTAACTAATTAATTCAGTAAATAACAGCAAAATCCTCTTACACCTACAGGAGTTGTGCTTTTCACAAAATTCCCTGCTGCACTAGGACCTTCTATCTCCACTATGTCCGTCACTGGAAGTATAGAAGATCCTGCTTCTATTGAGAAATCAATTATGTTAGTTTCATCTTTTGCTGCTGATGAGCTTGCATTAATTTCCCTGCCTCCATTCAAAGATGCATTAATAAGAGGGTCTGAGGAAAATGCAGGAGGAGGACTACGGGATTCTGTCGATAACAATGAAACTGGATGATTTCCAAACAAGTTCTTTTCCAAGCCAGTCTGCATAACAAGAAAATATGTTCACATATAACTACTATAAAGGAGAAAAGTAAAGGCAACAACTACAACACTCATGTAAAGAATGCCTCAAACTTAGCACAACAAAAAAAGGACAAAAACCAAACCATAAAACCCTTAATGAAGTGAAAGGAAGCAGCTTTCTGTAGGCATTTGGCCCAGAAAAATACACATTAATAAGAATAAAAAATGAAGTCATTTTTTAACCATGTATATATGCTTACCTATGGTAGACACTCGTATGGAATAAGGAGCATTTAATTCATCATTATAGAAAAGTATTGATATTTCAATACCCTTACAATTAATTGTATTAATATCATTTTCAAGGGTTTATCTTTATTCTAAACTCCATAGTACATGTGCAAGGCACGTGTTGGTATGCTAGTGCTACTTGTTATAGAAAGAACCACTGCCACCTTATCAAATTACACCCTTCTAACATATCTAACAATAACATCCAAATTTGTTGTGTAGGATAATACATCTGCAATCAAGCAACTCTAGTGTGTCCGTGTTAGGGAAAAGAGATTATCACTTTAAAAGCTAACTTAACCATATCGTCTAGTATCAACCAAAATTACAGTGCAATCCAATGCAACCTCCTTGACCTTTTTCCCTTCACATCATCTCTTCAACTAAATCAAGTTGACAATGACTATGTGAGTATTTTAGCTGGATTTCAAAGAAGACTAATAGCTTTCATTAACATTAAGTGTATGCCTACCAAAAGTTACACTATAATGCAACAACCACCAACTGCGTGAAGCAATATTAAGCAATTTTAATCAAATTGACATTAAATTACTTCTTTGTGATAATTTAAGAGTCACGACTGAGCCTTGCCTGCATGATAGCTTCCTTCAACTTTGAATGGAGGCGAGATGCTGAATCTTTCACATTCTTGGGAGGCCATATCTGCACCAATAGAGACCCATTTGAAAACAAAACACGCCATAAAAGTAACATAGCAGAATATAAATACTAGATACACCTACTGAAAAAATGTACTCTAACTTTAATAGATCAAGACAATACCACAAGTAGAAAGCAAAACTTACCGATGTGTTACATGTAGGACAAACATATCCAGCTGGTGCAGTATGAGAAGGGAAACTCTTGATATGTGAAACCAGGCAACTTGTATGTATAACATCTATATGAACAACAGAAGACAAATGTGTATTACGAATGTAGTATGAGGAGTTCAACATTTTCTCTATCCCTTCATATTGACAAAATATGCAAGTGGCAGTAACTATATCTGCAAACCACTTACGCAAGCAACCTAGCCGAGTCATTTGAGAGCCAGTCCCCTCATCAAGTGCAACCTGACAGAGGCAGCATTTTGGAGGCCAATCATACTCTCCATCTATTACCCACTCTGAGTAGGTACGAACCTACAAGAAATCATAAAGACAGATCAGGCCCTAAAAGAGCCATAAATTCCAATTCTTTATAATATTCATTGTTAGAAACTAAGAAAACTGGCAACAACCCCCCATCCCTAGAACTTGAGCCAAGGCCAAGGGTCTGCTATGTCATACCTAGGCCTTCCACACCAACCTAAAACTGAAAAGATATTAAGTACTTAAGCAGGCACAATTTTATATTCTCATGCAAGTAAAAGTTTCTAAATTTTGAACCCATACATCTATTAGATATTAATATATTGCATGTTATCATTTGCTTTTCTCATGAATTTATGTTCATCTGTCTCTCCTCTCTCTCCCTACACAAGTTACTTGTATGTATATGCACAAATGTGATGCTAAACCTGCAACTCGGGGATCTTGTCGCAGCCCTTGGAGAGACATTTCTAGTGGCTATAATTTGTTTCTTCAAGGCTGTGTTTTCGTGGTAGGTTGTGGAGTTAGGGTCAGATTTTGGGAGGATGACTGGAGCCGGGGCGGTGTTTTGCAAGAGGTGTTTCCAAGACTTTTCAATTTGTCCAGGAAGCAAAACCACAATATTTCCTCTTTTACGGGCTCGGATGGGTTCCCTCTCAGCTGGGATTTTGGTTTCAGGAGGAATCTCAATGAATTGGAGATAGCGGAGGCGGCTAGATTGTTGGATTTATTGGAGGGTGTGAGGTTGATCACTTCCAGATTGGACAAGAGAAGATGGAAGCTAGACCCCTCCGGTCTATTCTCCTGTCATTCTCTCTGTTTTCATATTCAGAATAGTGGTGAGGGGGAGATCTTCTCCCCGTACACTCAAATTTGGAAGGCCAAGACTCCTCAGAAAGTTAAGATCTTTGTGTGGCAAGCGGTGTTGGGAAAACTAAATACAGATGATACAATACAGAGACGCTGCCCTTATTTGTGCCTTAGCCCTCACTGGTGTGCTCTATGTAATAAGGCAGGGGAGAGCGTGGACCATCTCCTTCTTCACTGCCCTTTCTCTCTAAAGTTGTGGGAGACGTTACTGAAGGAAGTTAACACGGTGGGGGTAATACCGGAAGGCTGCTTTGAACTTTTTTCCATCAGATTTGATGCTTTGGGAAGGGGAAAGAAAGCTAAAATTCTCTGGGGTAGTCTGATGCAGGCAGTGGTTTGGAACCTATGGCTGGAACGTAACAGGAGAATCTTCCAGGATTATAAGGGAGTGGGAGTGGTAGAGTTATGGGATAGAGTGAAGTTTTGGGCTGCCCTTTGGGCATCAACTTCCCTTGCTTTTAAGGATATACCCTATCCTACAATTATGCGCAATCTGCTGGCTGTAGTATCTTAAGGGGTTGTTTTATGTTTGGTTGTTTAGTTCTGTGTTGAGTGGCCTTGTGTCTGTTTCACCGGCTAGTTTTTTTTCTTTTTATCTGTGTTCTAAATGCCCTTGTTTTGATCCTTTCAAATTTGAATAAAAATGTTCCTATTCAAATAAAAAAATTAAAAAAAATATATGCACAAATGTAAAATGCAAATGCTCATTCATAACTCAACTTAAGTTCAATCCATCCAGCGCCATAATTATTGATAAGTCCAATTCAGCCCCATGAATATAGAGAAGAATACTTTCACTGTGATTATAATCAAATCAACAAAACAACCAAACCATGCAGCCTAAACATTACAATACAAAAACCCCAATACCAAAAAAATACTTACCACGCATATTTGGTGCTCGGGAGAACAGATGCATTCACCACAAACTGGAACCTTGTGCACGAAACAATACAGCTTGGTAGCCTGAAACACCAAAAGCACCAATCTCCATCAATCTTGGAAATTAACCATCCCAAGAAATGAAATCTTTAAGAAGGTCTACGAACTAGAATTTCAAGAATTGAATCAAAATGATGAGGTTAAACAATCAATCTGAACATTTCCAATCTAAGAGTCAAATGCAGATGCCGAAACTAAATTCACAATCTTAACGATCGCCTCAGTATCAAAATTACATTTCCGATCCGATCTAAACCTTGAGCTACCGAAATCAGGCATTGCGCTGTAAATTGAGTCGGGAAATGATAAACTAAAATTCCACACCACCAGTGTTCACGAGTGGAAAGAGAAAGAAAGAGAGAGGTACCTTGCGGCATTTGCAGACCACCATTGCAGTGAACGAATCGCAGTCGCTAGGGTTTACGATTCAGAGAGGTTTTTTGCCTGATTATTTGGGCTCCTCTGTTTCCGTTGCCAACTCTAACGAAGTGCCTTCATATCAGATTTGCAAAAGAATACTTGTCATCTCAGGCAGAGCAGAGCAGACTGGCTTAACTCTCTCAGAAGAGATCATCCGTTTTCAGTTTTCCTTTCTTATTTTTTATTTTCTTTTTCTTCTCTTTTTTCTTAAATTTGATAATCAATTAATCGCCCAAAATATTTGATGATGGACTTTACGGGTAAGTATTTCCTTATTTGGCAAATTTTCTATTGTATACTATCTTTTTTTTATAGACAAATTGATTACTAATGTTTCCAATGTGTGGGGGTGATCTTACCCACCTTAATTGAAAATTTTAAGTATTTCCAAAAACGCAAAAGAACGGAGGTGGTTTATAACTCAAGTGGTTAAGAGAAGTTGTAAATGATTCAATAGTATAGTGGTTTGGAGCATTTGCTCCCTCAATAGTGTTCTTTTTTTTCATAGAAATTCTGGAATTGCATTCATAATTTAACCAAAAAAAGTCAATAGCCACAAGAGGCCAATACAAATTAGCTACAAAAATAATAACGGAGCAATCTAATATTAAAATTAAGACAATCTAGGAATTAAAGAAATTTAAGCATAGACATCCAACTAAAGAACAAACTTAAAATAACGAAAAATAAATAAAACTTGAAAAAATCAAGTTATAATAATATATATAAAAAAAACTCTCACAAAAGAGAGGTGGAAAGCTTTCACAAAAGAGAGGTGAAAAATTATCACAAAAAAAAGAAGTGAAAAGTACACAGAAAGGTTAAACATCTAAAATTTACTATTTATTTTTAAAGGGCAAATTCTAAAAGTTCAATTAAAAAAACTTTGAAAGAAAAAAAAAATAGTTGTTCGTATTTAGGACATCTTCAACATCAGAAAGAGAAGTGACATTGTATGGTAACGTCATCCGACGCGGTGCTAGCATGCCCCTTGCGATGGGCAAGAAATTCTTATATAGTGGGCGGCCACATGGACCACCCGTACCAAAGAATCATTTATTGAGAATGTTAGTCATGGTCGTCTATTTTCTTTTTGTTTTGTGAAGTTCACAAAAATACAAAAATACAAAAATATATTTTTTTTGGGTGTCTTGAATTTTTTAAGAACTGATTTTCAGGTGGCATATGTATGTTTTGGTTCCCTTGTACATGAGTTCGACCCCTCCTCTTAGTACATTACAATAATTTAGAATATTGCATTGTCAACAAACAAAAAAAATATTGGGGTCTAGTCGGTATTTCTCACTTGTATTAACTCAATCTTTTTTTTTAATACAAAAAATATTTTATTTTAATTTAATTTGAAGTACTGAAAGGGGATTCGAATCCAAGGGCAAAGTCGGGAGCACATCCTCTCTAACTAACTTGATTAAGCTCATATATGTTTGTGCTCAATCTTAAAGATCAACTTAGTTACTACTCAAATAAATTACGTGGCTAATATCAAAGTCCACGTCTATAATTTATATATAGCACCCTCATTATAGAGCCACTCAGTCCAATATAGCGGTTAAACTTTTGGGTGCATGTAGCAACTCTGTTATGTTGGGCTTGCAAAAATGAGCCCAAGCTTGTTGAAACAAGCAAATCGTCCCCTCATTTTGAATTTGAAAGAACCTCTGGTCTGGATCACAAAATCACCTTCGTCTCTCTCTTGTTTTCTTCCATTTTTCAAACCGCCTTCCCTCTTTCTTTTCTCTCTCATCACACTCTCCATCTCCAACGACACTATCAACTCTTCAAAATTCAAAAACCCTAAAACACACACACTCTCTCTCTCCGTCCAATTCCGCCATGACAGCTGTCCCTCCGCCGGCGCCGGGCCGCGAGCTCTCCAGCCCCCCCTCCGACGGCATCTCTAACCTCCGCTTCTCCAACCACAGCGATCATTTGCTTGTCTCTTCATGGGACAAGGTATGCCCTCACTCTCATATATGTCGCCACGTATCCCCCTTCTCTCTATCTCTCTCTAACCCCTCTCTCTAATTGTGCAGACCGTCCGATTGTACGACGCCAGCGCCAATGTGCTGCGAGGAGAGTTCAAGCACGGCGGTCCCGTACTCGATTGCTGCTTCCACGACGACTCTTCCGGCTTCAGCGCCGGCGCCGACAACACTGTTAGACGGTAATCAAAACCCCAAAACCCTAATGCTCTAAAAAAACCCATTTTTGAATTCTCATGCTTTGTCTATGCTCTGTGTCAATGTTCCAGGCTCGTTTTCAGCTCTAGTAAGGAAGACATCCTAGGAAGGCACGATGCACCAGTGCGGTGCGTTGAGTACTCTTATGCAGCAGGTATGTTCTCCAAGTTATCATTTTTTTACATTTGAAATTAGTTCCAATCAAAACCTCGAAGTGTTTTCTTGCAAAACTTTTTGTCCTAAATTGGCTGATTGATTTTGTATCTGGGCTGCTCAGAGTTTATAGTATGCTTTATTGTATTAGTTGTTCTTTAAATGGAAATATTTATAACCTTAAATCATGTTCCTGACTTTATCGTAATGTTGATGCTATAGTTGGTATTTTCAGTAATTTCATTCATTTAAGTTAAACTGCCGCCAATTTGTTTCCGTTTACTGGAAGGATCCCACTTTTACTTTCTTGTGCGATAAAATGATATCAGGGCAGTTGATCACTGGTAGTTGGGATAAAACACTCAAGTGTTGGGACCCCAGAGGTGCAAGCGGACAGGAGCGTACTCTTGTTGGGACGTACCCACAACCCGAACGTGTTTATTCTCTTTCTCTTGTCGGAAATCGGTTGGTGGTTGCAACAGCAGGAAGACACGTCAATGTCTATGATTTGAGAAATATGTCCCAGCCTGAGCAACGGAGGGAGTCTTCGTTGAAGTATCAAACTCGATGTGTGCGCTGTTATCCTAATGGAACAGGTAATTTTAGTAGCTTTTAGTTTTAGGACACATCTCACAAACTTTTTCTTTCTTGCACTTGGCACTTTGTCAAAGGTATTGTGAAGGGCAGAATTGTGTGGCTTTGTGGCTAACCACTCCCACAGCTTTTCCCTTGCCCACAACAAATAACTTTTTCATTTCAGTATTGCCTTAAAAAATAAGTTACAAAATTTTAAGTTGTTTTTGTGAATGGAATGCATCCATGCTGTTGCTTCTTTCATGTTTGATCCTATGATTACTTTTTGCAGGTTATGCTCTTAGTTCTGTGGAAGGACGGGTTGCGATGGAGTTTTTTGATCTCTCAGAGGCTAGTCAGACCAAAAAGTAAGCATTCAGCTATTACTGAGAAATTGTGCTTTACATTGACTGATAGTTTCAGTTTCATGACCTCCTAACCTTAGGGTTTTCTTTAGAATGGCCTACGACATCTTAGATGCCACCCACCATCCCAAACCAAAAAAAACCAAACAACAAAAGAGTTGTTCTTCTTGATATATGCACCACTACACCTCTATATGGTCCATGATGATTCCTGATTATCTCTTCATAAATTAGGATGTGCCATCGTCGTAAAGTGTGCTTCTGTTAGTTCACCGCCACAACTTAATTATTGGGTGGTTCTAAGCTTTACTTCGCTTGTAGATTTTTCTTGGTGGAACAACTGTAAAATTCCTCTTTGGTGATATTGTGCACTGATTTCTGTCATTCATCCTTAGTTTGTTAATGGTATTAATCTTGGTGCAGATATGCATTCAAGTGTCACAGAAAATCAGAGGCTGGAAGGGACATTGTCTATCCAGTAAATGCAATTGCATTCCACCCCATGTAAGTTACTTTTTTCTTTTAAAATATTGTGCACTAAACTTTTTATGCATTATTTTGTGGAATTCATAAAGAGATAGGCCATGTCTGGTTTCCGTTGAAGGAATCTAATGATTACAGTAACTACATTTGGGAATATCGTAGTAGTCAACTTAGTTCATGGCTTTTTCTTTGGTTGAATGGTTCGAAAAATGGAGCGCATTGATAGATACAGATGCAAATAAGGATCTGAAGTGTTCCTGGATTGTGTGATGAATTTATGGCTCACATGATACTTGATCTGCAATAATAAACGTAGTTTAGGTATTTAAACCTAAATTGAGCTCATGGGAAGCTGAGTAGTTCACTTAGCTGATTGATGCTTTAATAAAGTTTGTGAGTGAGATTCCTTTACATTATTGACTGACTTGTGGACAGCCCATTTTCACCACATGGGGACAAATTGAAAAAAGCAGTCATCTAGAAACTGGAACATGCTTTCGCTTGTATGAGAGTTATAACTGAACATTACACTGTTTGAACTGGATAGAGTTGGAGACATTGTTCTTGAACTCGAAATGAATATTATGTTAGCAATCTGAGTTTTAGAATAGTGTTCCTTTTTTACGCCCCCACGTCGCCATGATAGAATAAGTTGCCTTTTACTCCATTTGCATTTTTTTATTATTTCATTTTGAAATTCAATTGCAGCTATGGCACTTTTGCGACTGGAGGTTGTGATGGCTATGTGAATGTATGGGATGGGAACAACAAGAAGAGGCTGTATCAGGTAATTACTTGCTTTATGTGACACTGATGTATTATTCACCTATGGTGAAATTACAATTATAATAAATTTTTAATATGCTCTTCTTTTACAGTACTCAAAGTACCCAACAAGCATTGCGGCACTTTCTTTTAGCCGAGATGGCCGCCTATTGGCTGTGGCTTCAAGTTATACATTTGAAGAGGGAGATAAACCGTGAGCACCTCTCTCTCCCTCCCCATTGATTTATCCATCTATCCATCTATCCATCTAATGTGTTATCTGTTCAACTTGCAGCCACGAACCAGATTCCATCTTTGTTCGAAGTGTAAATGAGATAGAGGTCAAGCCAAAGCCAAAAGTGTACCCTAATCCACCAGCATAACTGAAATTTGTTGAAGAATCAAAAGAGGTGGAAAAAAAAGTGAAATCGTAGGACTTTGGCTTTTGTTTTAGTCACTCTGGCTATATATATATTTGTTTAATTCGATCCTGTCTGGTTCCGTTGTGGCCTGTGTATGAGACTTTGGCCATCGGAACTCTAAAATTTCTTCTGCTGTCAGAAACGATGATGCCCTGTAACGCAATTGTTATGATTTCATCTACATGAAAAATGCCTCCAGTCCAATCAGTTCTTTTCTTGCATCTCCTTTTGTAAATCTCACGTTGTCTTC